GAGCCCCCTCTCACAGCTCTGCAGTGTACAATGGAGCTGTTGAAGCAATAGCAACTTTTCTGAGTAAGTTAGTGTCTAGAAACTGCTTTTGTGATGGATGCTTAAAGTTTTACTTTAGAACATTTTTAAAGTGACATTCCATTGCAGATGCTCCAGGAAGCCAGTGTATGCATTATGCATTCAAAATCTGGTTCTTTGGTGTACAAAACAGTTCAAATGCAAGCTATGCTATTTTTCTTTATGACTGGGACGCTCAACTTTATTCTGCCGGTATGCAGAAAGTGTACAGTCACACGGACCCTGCATCCAACTGCTAAATCCATTCAGAGACACCTATGGTTCTTTTGAGGTAGTTGCCTTTTTTCCCCCCAAACAGGTGATCGCACAGTTCCCATAACAATGGTATCAGCTTACACAGATGAGAGAAGTTTTTCATAAATATTATGTTCTTTTTGTGTAAAATACTTTTTTATTAAGATCTTGCTCTAATGAAACACCCTTGCACAAAAGGAGGGAAAGAAGAATTTTAGTCATTCCAAGATATGGAGATTTGCAGAAAAAGACCTTATTGAATTCATTATGCTGATGATGTTAACCATTACTCTTTTGCACCAGAAGCAGATGTCCACACCACATAAGCAAAGTGGTGTTATCGAAAGGTAAACACCAGAGAATACCACCCTGACTTGGCAGTGTTTCATGTATTCATGTTGTGCTGCTGTAGAGAACTTGCACAAGACATTGGGGCGTGATCCAGCAGGGAAAAAAACCATGTCTACATCATACCTGGTCGTTCAGGTTACCCTTACAGTCATTAAGGAGAAACAGATACTTCTAAGATTAAAAGTTACTCTCGTCTTGAGGTAGGCAACTAAATAGACCAACTGAATCATTAATGAGAAGCACTTAACTCCTGTAGCTTCTGCTCCTTGATGAACTCCTCTTTCTCGTGGAATTGCCTATTTCTCAATGTAGAGGTGTAGAAGTTTCAAAGTTGTATGAGATCCCTGAGATGGATCATCGGGTAGCTTATCTTCACAACAGATGCGTCTTTGTAGCAGGCCCACCAACAGCAAACAGTGCCTATCCTTTCTCATTTCTCTGAATATATTCACTTGATACCTCACAAAACTCCCTTTTTTGACAACTTAGCCCCTTTAAGAGCTGCACAGAGCTAAACTGTGAAGCTAGAAGGTAACTGTTTACTAGCTTGTCTACAAAGTAAGCTAGAAGAATTGTTCTTCTTGAGCTCCAAATAGTGTTCCTACTTCTCTCCCTAGAGATGCAGACAGCTAGGTACAGACAGCTAACTAGTCAATCCTGCTACATACCAGTTTATCCTGCAAAGTGGAATAAAACATTAGGAAAGGAATGGCAGAGTCTTGATTTATGCAGCTGTCTAAAAATGACCAGTCATCTGCACAACTTCAGAAGTGATAAGAAATCTTTTCAAACCAATTCAGAACTATTCTGGTTCATTATTCAGCATTGCCTTCCAGCATGTGAGAGTGGCAAGGTTTGGTGATATAGGCTATAGAACAGATACAACATTTACATGTCTTTTTTTTTTTTTCCTCTTTTTCTAGGCTCGGTAACATCTTTTGTAGTACAATATATGAAAATTAACTGGGACCTTTTTGGAGAACTGGCTTTAGGGATCTTCTCCGCAATAGATGCTGGTTCTCTATTTCTCATGCACTTCACTACCAACATCTGGGCATGTTATGCCAGCTATCTCATTTTCAAAGCATGCTATATGCTCCTTATAACAATAGCAACGTAAGTATAAAACCTTGTAGTGCTACTGTTATGCAAAAAATGCCAACAATACTTTAAGTTTGGACATCCCTCCTTTTATTCAGAGGTAGCTGATCTAATGCTAGACATAACTGTTTAGGTAAAGACAAGGACACTTAAATGTCTAGTTATGTTATTTTCTTTTTTATAAACAATGATAAAAGAAAAATTATGAAAAGGAGGATATTGAGCATATTCCTAGGCAGAAGTTAAACAAGGTACAAAGCATCTTTATTACTAAAGGCAATAGTAACAGCAAAACATAAGCTATTTTCCTCCTTCCTGGCACAGAAGATGCTGTGAACAAGAGGGACAAGCATGCTCTGGCAACCAACCTTTAAGATCCCCTTATGTCTAGACCACCTTGCTGATATTCTTTTTAGCAAGCTATGAATTGTGTGAATGCAAGAAAAGATTTGGCATAGGGTGTTGCCCAACGTAACTTTACAAATCCTTACTGATACTATGATGTAAACAAGGAATAAAATAAAAAAATTGGACATATAAACTCAGACAAGATCTCTTAGCAGACCAAGCTATTCTGTTGTCAGAAGCAGAAAAATAAAAATAATATAAATAAAAAATATAATATATTATCTATGTAATAAGACATTTTTATTATTGCAGTTATTTTATTGATTGGAATTGTCTTTAGACATATCATACTATTTCATTAACAAAAATACCCAATGAATTTTTATATCAAACCCCAAAATTATTCAGATACCATTTAAAAAAAACTGCTGAAACTGAAATAATTTTGTCACTAAAATGATAAAATTATGCCTATCTTGAATGAAGCCAAGTGAATCCTCTATTTTCATTTTGGTGGTTGTTATACATTATAGTGGATCACACCTGGACTACTTCAACATATTGTACAAAAAAAAAAGTAAAAACTTGCACAAAAAAAGCCCTGAGAAAAATCAATTAAAAGAGTACTGCAGGACTAACCCACATTGATTCAGGTAGAAACTTTGGAGGCAAATATTGCAAGGAAAGATGTTCTGATTATTGTTAGAAAAAGATATTGCAAGGCAAATCTACAGGCTTTTGACAGAAATAAATGGTATGCTATCTCCATTGTCAAGACACAAAGCAAGAAGTGATTCGCATCATCATAGAAAAGTTGGTTAGAAGATACTCATGGTGACCTTCTAGTTTAACATCCCAGCCAGGGCAGAACTCCTGCCAATGCCAGATCAGGTTATGGTTTTGCCTGCACATATCTGTCAAAGCCTCCGTGGAGGTTTTGGAAGGTTTGTGAAGGTAGAGAAGAAACAGAGGGGATGATTAAAGAGATCTGATTCCTAACTGAATAAAGCAGATCACCCGATAACATGGTTTGGAAACCCAGCACAGGCTAGTGTGGGGGTTTCAAAATACTTTATGGGTAGTCAAGACATCATTTAGTGGAAACAAGGAAGCAAACAAACAAACAAACAAAGCACTATTTACTGTCTCCTTGATATATCATCTGCATGAATCATTTCTCTCCATCAACCAAATTGAGAGGAACAACCTTCCACCCAGTGTGAAGTAACTGACCTGCCAGTCTCACATTAGGTTCCAGATTGCAGTCAATCTGAGCATGGAGCGCTACGCCTTGATGTTTGGATTCAACAACTTTGTTGCACTGGTGATTCAGACCATTCTTACAGTAGTCGTCGTGGATTCAAAAGGCCTGGGACTGGACATAGTGACTCAGGTAAGTGCTGTTAACTTACTTCCCATTTACTGCTTAGCCAATTCATCTTCAAAAGTTTACCAAGAATAAAATTGTTATACCAAAGGATGATTTAATTCCCTCTTTCTTCTATAGAAATCTAGACATTTTGCTCTTCCCTTGCGTCAGCCATCATTCTTCCCTTTTGCCTTTTAGTGCAGCATTTAGGATTATAGATGCTGGTTCTTGACTTTTTAAAGGCAGATACACTAGAAGGTAAATAATTGGGCCCTGCTACCTGACCAGCTTTTGCTAATTCATATGACACTGAATAAAATCCTCTCGGACCAAAAATTCAGGTTGGTTTTCTCAGATGCAGAATCAACATGACCGCATGTTGTTAGAGAAGTTCAGGACGATGAGACAGAGCATGGATTATTGGAATTACTTCAGCTCAAGTAACAAGGACACCTGCCTTCTAATTCCAGCTCAGGAGCAAACCTGATCTGTATCTCAACATGAATAGAGTTTTCTCCTCATAGTCTGGACACTTAATTTGGGGCAGAGATCCTATCTCACAACAGTGTCCCTAACTTCAGTCAGCCCTCTTCCACTCATGCTGGAGTCAACTGAAATGTACTGACTTTTGCGTTTTCTCAGATGGGATCTCAGCTGGGGCAGCTTCCTACTCCCATGAATGCAGAAGGCTAAAGCTATATAGGTATTCTGCACAGAGAAGGCAAAAGTTACTTTAAAAGATTAAAGATTTAATTAAACATTAAAAATTAAAACTTTAAAATTAAGGATAGGAACAATGTAGGACTTCATAAATAGGCTTGCCACTGTTGTTGGAAACACTGATACAAAGTCATGGTATGTTTACGGAAGCCAGTGTGGTGACAGCACTGAAATATGCAAGTAAGAGCAAAAAATAACCAACTCAGACTCTTCACTTACATTATTCATGAGTTTGTGGGTAATGAAGCTACTTCTACATTCTGCACTAATATAAAAAAAAAAAGTCCTGTTCCTATCCCTTCCCTGCTCTGATGTTTATTAAGAGGCTGTCCTGGTTTCAGCTGGGATAGAGTTAATTTTCTTCATAGAAGCTATCCCAGCTGAAACCAGGGCAGAGGAATAAGGATTGGAAGCAAAGGGCAGTTCTTCATTCCTCAAAGATTTGCTGTTTGCTGGAAAAGCTGAGATTTTGCTTAATTACAAAACAAAAACTTGAACACAGAGAAACTGTGAAGAACACAGGTAACCAAAATAATAGATTATCATCTCCAGAAGAAGCAGTGTTTCCTTATTGCATTTTTCATTAATTCTTCTGTCTTTTTCTCTCCCACTCAGTTTTTAATTTATGGCAGCTACTTTGCAGTCATAGCTGGGATTTTCTTGATCAGAAGCATTTGCATGCTTGTCTCAAGCAAATGCAAAAGGAAAATAGCAAGATCTTGCAAAGAGCATCTGAACCGTGCCGAACACGAATCGAAAGAGCAGATTGTAACTGGCTATACGACATGGCTGTAGGAGTCAGGCAAGCGGGCTGACATGGCCAGGCCCTCATGGGAGAAGAGCTCCTACTGCAGCATGCAAAGAACAGCAGTGCAAGATGAACATACAACACAGCCCTGAAAAGCTACGCTGAATCATTACAGCACTTCGTTACAACATATGCCAGCTAAGAGATCACCATGATGGCACTGTGCCAAGAAGAAAAGTTGCTTTAGATTCTTATTTACTTGCCTATAAATAGATTAACAGCAGTAATTTATGCATGAGAACAGACAAACCACCTTGGTACCCCAACATGCACAGTGGCAAAGGTTGGAGTTCACCCTGCCTTGCTTGTTCTAGCTCTTGTATCCGGTGTTGGCAAGCTGCTTCCATGCATATTTGCTCATGCAAATGTGGGTGAAGGGTCTATCCCCCCTTTGCACATACCTTCTTCTGAACCAAGGAAGAAGGGATTGTGTTTGCATCATGATATTCTTTCCTACTTAACTACAGGTGATTCAGAGACAGACTCCTCCCTCCTAATTTAAAAGCCCACGTCAGAAGCGGGCTTTGCACACAATGGTGCAGAAAAGCAGGGTTGGCATAACCTATCTGAGAAGGTTCACTGAAACACTGCTAAGCCACAAGTGTTGCTTGGCCCACATTTGAAAGCTGCAACCTAAACACTGTACTGAGTCCATAGCAATCTCAGCCCAGAAGGGAAAAACTTCAGAGTCAAAACAAAACAAGGGAGCTCCACTCCATTCCTGGTCTGTCCAGTAAAATTAAATTCAGGACTGAGTGTCTCCCTGTTTCAACAGGAAAAGAAAAAATATCAAAGGGATTGAGTAGTATAGACTAAGACTGGAGAAGTATGTTGTGGAGAAATTAATCTGATTCTGCACAGAAAATTCCAGATTAACACAAGTATCCAAGAAGATTTATAACTGAAACAAAAAGCTAGCATCATGTGGGCTTTTGAGTACCAAATGAGGAGGTCCACTGATCTTGGCCAGGATTCGGCAGGGTCAGCATCTCAGAATTTATCAAGAAGCTTCAAGTCCTATGGCTAATTTAGTCCAGCACAAGGGACAGTTAGGCCAGAAGAAGGAAAAAAAAAAAAAAAAGACTGAGTTTGCATAGCGAATGCCTAATTTAATATAAATTATATCCATATGTTAAGGTTATTTCTGTACTGCTGTTTGCTTCTAGCTTCCAATACCTACATCTAAATAATAAAAATAGAAAAGACTTAGCATTTACAGAATACTTTTCCTGTAGAGACATAAGCTCTCATTTATACAGACATATGTGCTTTTCATACAGTTGTCACATCCTGCGACCAAACTGCCCAGAGGTGAGAGCAGGCAGGAGAGAAGCCGTTTGTTTCAAAGTCACAAGAAGAATCATTGGGATTTGACCAAATGAACTCAGCTCATTTTCTAGGCTTTGTTTACTATTGCGCATTGTGTGGACATTCTCTGTTGTAAGCTGGCTCTAAGCAGAACAGCTTAACCAATGCAGTTGTAAAAGCAGGAGATATACTCGGTCTCCGCCAAGCAATAAGTATCTTTTATTACTACAGAACAGAGGGCATGATATTCCTGCCTGAAGAAACTGGGACAAAGTCCAATAGAGCAAGGACTATTTTGTGTTATTCTTCCTCATGAGAAGGAATCTTTTTTTTGAGGCATTTAGTTAAAGAACTAGATGTGAGTCCTGGACTGGAAGCTAGCTAGAATTTGTGTTTAAATGAAAAAGAGGAACTTGGTATTTCCAGCTCCAGGGTCCCAAACTACCTTTGGTACAGAAAGTTAATGAATATATGTCTCTGTGTAGCATCTGACAAAAGGAAGGGAGTCGGCAACATCAAACCTTCTGCTACTATAAAAAAAGCGGTAGTAGTAAGCTGCAGGAAAGGAGCCAGAAAAACTGGTAGAAACAACCATAAAAGCTCTTCCATTCTGAACTGGTCGGAGCTCACTGCCTTCCATGTACATGGGATGCCAATAAGGAGCAAAGCAGCCAAGCAGACATAATGTATTTGGTTTGCAGCTGTAGCGAATGGTATCTTCAGAAAAGAGAGACGACAAAATTACTCCTATTATCTCAAATTTCCAAATGAAAGATTCTAAAGTTGAGAACTGGGGGGAGCATTGAGGGGTGAGGAAGAGGGGAAGGAAGAGCAGTTCTGAGGAGCGTTTGGAAGGACATGACACGTCAGGGATGGAAACAACAGCAAGAGATAGGTAAGGCCCTACATTACCCTGGGTTTTCAGCTGCAAATTGGTATTAACCCAGCAATCAGCTAGAGATTTCATCCAAAACAGTAAGATGCACACATCTGTGTGTTCAGGGACATACACACACACACACTTTGGAGAGGAGATAGTTAAGGCTTAGCAGGTTATGGGCAAAGCTGGAACCACAGGCTCTCTAGATCTGCAGGAAAAGGAAATTCTGAACAAATCCACCTCTCCTTGCAGATTTTAGTATTAAGTGCTCACCTTTCTCCCAGCATGCCAAAAGATTCAGCGTAAATATGAAAACCCAGAGCGAGGCACATTTCTCCCCGTAGCTGCAACCCCATCTAAACACAACGCTAACTGCCTTTGAAACGTTAGTGGTTTTGGGCACAAGTCTTCCATGAAGATACGGTTCAGCAAGCTGATAGGCCAGTTCTGGCCAAAAAGGCAGCAAACAAATTGTATCTTTGTACTGAAAGCGAGCAGGTATTAAACCAAGCACGGGGTGGGTTATCAGGGCAGTGCTAGCCAGCAGGCCAGTAGACCTACCCAGCAGCATTTCCCCATTGTTCCTTTCCTTTCTCAGAAGCCACTGGTAAAGAAAGAGAATGAAACACGGAGGCAGAGGCAAGCCTGGCTTCTCTGAACATTGCCTGCCTGGCTGCACCACACACTAGAAGCCGTGCAAGAAGTTTCCATACCTGTGGAAAAAGACCAGGCTCTGCCCGGCTCACAAAGCTGCTCTTGGTAGCACGTGGGGCCCCTCCTGCCCGGGCCCGGCCTTTGCTCCCAGCGCCAACACACATCCCGCAAGGGCCTTCGGGGCCAGCTCCCTCCTCTGATGAGCCTTGGAAGACACAGGGAGTCCAGTCTAAAAGAATTGGATAAAGGAAAGCAAAGCAGCAGAATTTCTCTGAAGCAGTTCTGGTTTGATTTTTTGGCTTACAAGCTACAGTTAGAAGCTTCTCATCTTCTTCTCTATTTGCCCTTAAGTGACAGGTTGGTCCGTTATATAGAAGTAATTCTTGTCCAACTCGCAATACATGGCATTCAATGTCCTACCTCCCTGCACCCCCAGCAAAGCCAGGACAGTCAGAGACCCCGTGAGCCCAGAGGCCCCTGCGCTGCGTGTGTAAAATGGCTGCCGTGTCTTATCCATGAACAGGACAAAGCTATTTATTAAAACAAAAATGCAATCAAGCGATTGCTTTCTTGCCATGTAAGTTTTTATTAACCATTAGCTACTGCAAGTCTTAAAGCTTTATCTTAAAATTAGAACTCGGTTTGCTGACAAAACCTGTAAAGGAGAAAGCTTCCCCCGCAATCTTCATGGACACATTCTGCAAGCAGGAAGAGGTGTGATGAATTATTATTTAAATTCTGTTAACATTTTATCAGGTTTAGAAAGAACTTTCAGGAAACAGAAAGACACTGAAATTTCTTACTATGTCCAATCCTAAAGGGTGGTTACTGACTTCTCTTCTACAAGACAGAAAGTCATCCTAGAAGGAAACTGCACATGACTCCACACCAAATGCACCACAGCCACAGCTTTGACAGGTAATTTATTGCCTTCAGAGTTATTTGGAAGCGTGCTGTCCACTCACTTGCTCAGTGCATGTGGAAGGGATGCAAGATTTATGCTAATGTCATTGATCAGTCCAGGGTTTAATATATTTATTTTGAAAAGATAACAGCTGTCAAAGGATTTAAAGCAGACATAAAGAGTTAAGACTATTACAAGCTTTTTTTTTAATATATAGATACAATGATTTGTAAGAGCAAGATAATAGAGTCAGTCATTGGAAATAAAGTTTAAAGGTTAGGGCTGGTTTTTTCAAGATTAGGGCTGGTTTTTGTAACCTTTCTCCGAGGTCATAGAAATACTGCCTTAGTAACATACTATTTATGCTGAGTTTTGATAAATATAATCTCACAGTGCAAGTAGAAGCACTTTTGATACAGTGCCTGCTATAAAATGGAATTCAAGAATTTAAAAGAAATAGCTTGTAACAGCTTGATTAAACATTAGTCGGTGCTTTGCTTTCATTCTTTTATGGCTTCAGAATATTCTTGTTTCACTTTGTTTTCCAGGAACAGTGGAATTGACTTTCTAAAGAAAAAACAAGTAAAATAAGCTTTAAAGCCCCAAATCTCTTCAGACTTCTTTTTGCTGCCTACTACAGTGAAGAAACAAGTCTCATTCTTTTCCTTCTGATGACTTCCAAAAGGGAAGTCAAGATTCCTCTTTTCCAAGTCTGAGCAGGTACCACAAGCAGATAGTTTCTGCATCTTTATTTACCTACTCAAATGACTGGAGTGCAAGAAATACGATGAGTATTAAAGTACTTTGAAGAAATCAAGCTCACAGCAGGTTGTGAGCTGGCTGGTGGCTTTTACTGTCTGCAAAAAGCCTTGCCCTTCTACTCCACTTGGCGCTCAGGCTGCAAATCAACAGCAAAAAAGACTCCTTAAGCATGCTGAGGAGGAGCTTTAATCTCAGTTTGCCCACCCATCTATTCAAAAATGAGACTATAATGGAACTTTATTCGTCGACTACGATACATCTGCTCAATTCTAAGTACATCATTAAGAACAACCTTTGATAGGTGATTCAGAGACTGGAGCTTACCACCACCAATGCACCTTGATCCAAGTTGTTCATCTACAAGCTGCATCTGTGATCACTGGCAGGTTTAGTGAAAGAAACATTAGCTGAAGTAGGGTTAGTTAAAAAGTAAACTTACAAATGCATTTTTATGGACTGTGAAGAGCATCTTTATAAAT